CTCCGGGGCGACTTCATTGATTCCAGTGGCGCATTTGCTTTTTCAGCTGCAGGAAAACCCGGAAAAACCTGCAGCACCACATCATCTGAAGATCTTGATCTGTCATTAGTTATCACTAATAACATTAACCTCAACAAGGTACTTTGGTATAAATATTTCCTCTTATTTTTTAAAACTTTTAATTTTTTGCATTTTTTCGTCATGACTCTCGATTATTGTGCATTGATGTATCGATAGGTTTATGTTTATTGTTTCATTATAATTGATATTCAACCCATTTATCAATTTATTTTCACGTTGTAATAAATTATTTATTTCGTTCAATTTTGATATTATTCATTCTTGAATAACTCATCTGAATATTCTGGTCATTTCCTGCAATTTAATCAATTTTATATTTTATGCATTTTTATTTTTTTTCCATATAATTCAAATCTGTCAATATTTTTTAGACAAGTTGTCTGGAACTAGTATCTTTTTAAAATGAAATTGTCATTTTGGCGCTGACTATTGACAGTTGACTATTGACAGTTTCTCCTGTAAAAAAATGGTAGAAAAATGCTTTGTTTATCACAATCTCTTGGATTCAATTCGAGATATATTCATCGAAGCGTTGGCAGTAATGTCTTCATGGTAGTCTTATCTTCACTTGAAAATCAAAGTAAAGAGGTCACCTTCAATAAATCCTCAAAAATTTTCTATATGCATGATTATATGGTCATTTTTTTTCCTGAGAGTGTAGTAGTAAAACCAGTCGATCAAACTTTCCGGTGTGTCTGCCGCTCTGTGGATGTTTGCACCTTGACAGTATTTCAATACCGTGTGACCTTCATTCAACCAAGTTTCGTCCAGATGATATATTCTATTACCATTGCGATCTAGTAAAATAGCTCCTCTGCTGTATTTTTTCCATTTTTAATTATTGTAAATAATCCGCAATGCTGAAAATATTTTAGATCGATAGAACAGGTAAGGGAATGTGAGAGGTGAAATTTTTAGAAAAATCATGCTTTGCGTTTTCCAGAAACGTCTAACATACCACCGACCGTGAGTCACGCTGTATATGTTGTTTGAACAATATAATAATTCGGTCCCAAAAGGTTTCCGACTTCAAATAAGGAATATGCAACCACAAGTTCCCGAGTCTAAGCGATAAAGAAATTTTGCACTATGCAGGGTTGGAAACTCGATCATTCGGAATACTTGAAAATTCATAATCATAAGCATTGCATGTAACCTACTAAATAACCAAATTGACCTGGTGTACCCGCCGGTTTTCAAATTGGCGTACCCAACGTCCATAGGATGCCTGCTTCCACGTACCCCCGCTGGATACGGGAATGACAGAATCACTTGTGGTTCTGTTATTCCCTAACAGAATGGCATCCCAACGATGACTTAATCCTAAGGTGTGTGTATCCGTGCCAAGAGGATGAATGACACTGAGACTATCAGCTGTCTCTAACAGAACCTTCGAGATACCGGGCGCCCTCTCGTCGTAGCATGATGATGATTCACCAAAACCAGAGACAGAAAAGCCCTGCACGGTTGAATCGAAGGCATCGTCAGGTGTAGCTAACATGCAAAAACCCTCATATGAGAAGGTTGTCGCGGGTATCAAGGTGCGAATCTTTCACCTTGACTATCCAACTACCCCATTAACAATAAAAGAGCAGAGCATATACTTTGTGCCTGCCCCGCTGGAGTTCGGCAGAGCCGTACACTTACCATCTGACCTGAAAGACCACTCACCATACAAACTAATCGGCTTTTTCGGGCCAGTTTTACCTACACTGCAGGTTAACGGACTGACACCTATCAGAAAACAACTACTCACCTAATACCACGAAGGACGTTAGATTATATCCGATAGGTGTCAGTGCAGGATTCTTCACATAAGTAATTCCTGCATGTGCCGTTTGCGATACAACTGCCAACAGCATATGTGGGAATTACTTCTGTGAATAATCCAGAACTGACACCTGTCAGATATAATCCAACGCTATTCGTGGTATTAGCCAGGGGTGTAGTTGTTTTTTGACTGGTGTCAGTCCATTTGATTTTGAGCCAGTCTTCAAGTATGCTCCCATACTATATGTGAAATCACTGTATTATATTTCGAGTGGATGTGATATGTAGATTAGATTTAAGTGAATGATTCGCGTCATTAGTACTCTGATCTGAAATTAGAATTCAATGTTAATGAATAAAACGGCCAGGAAGTTGGAAAAACTTTAGTGTCACTTTTGAATGGATATTAGAGTAAAACAAAACACTGGTATTTTTTCAATTGAACTCGTAATACGGGGAATATTCCGCAGGTATATTCATTGTAATTTCCTGACCACTTTGGTTTCAAGGCAGCAATTCTCTCTAATTAGATAAATACGCGACTCGTGACAATTTGAAAACGCAACATTTCAAGAACCCACTACAACAAAGAACTATGATAAGGTCTCACCTGGTTGCGACAGAAGCACAAACAAACAAAATGGTAAAAGAATAAAAAGGGTGAAGACTAGAAAGCAGTTTCGTTTGCGAATCGGCGACATAGTTCTAGTTGCCGCTGTCATTTCCCATCACACGAAAAACACACAAATGTCACATCCTGTCACAAGTAAAAGAAAAAGTTCGTCACCTCGAAGTCGCTACCCGGTTACCTCCCAGGAGGAGACGATCTTTCGCACGTTGTTATTCGATAGAGACGCACTGCCTGGCAGCGAATATTCACGATATGCTGTGACTAATGTACAGAATAGCGGTAAACACTTATATAAGGTCGCGCCGTGAAATCAGCACGCGGTTACGATCCGAATCGAAAGAGAACGAGCCGCTCCTCCTTGAAAAGCGTGTTTTTATTGATCCGGCGCGATGGGCTTTACGCTTCGCACGTGGTCAGAGATCATTAGAAAACGCTTTGACAGGCTGTCATTCTTTGGCAGGTTGGAAGCGCAAAATGCCACATATTATTGTATTTACTTGGTTGTTGGGAATTTCGACTGAAAAATCTAAATTTCCACTATGATTTGGAAATTTCGGCCTCGATATTTCGAATCTAATATCGAGATTTTGACTTTCAACTCGTAGTTTCAGATTTACACAAATGGTTGATGAAATGAGTTGGGCTGGAATGTTCGTACGATAACATAAAAAAAATTCAATAAAAATTGATTAGTTGCCTTCAAGGGCTTTACAATGATTACAGCAGCGTTCATACATTTTTTCGATACCATTTTTATACTAAGATTTGTCTGTAGCCTCAAAATAGGCCATCATAAATTTTTCATCGGGGCAGATTTTTTTCCCAGAGAGCACTCCTTTGGGGTCTGAGAAAAAAAAAATTACTGGGGGCCAAGTCTGGAGAGTACGGTTGATGCGGAAGCAAATCGAAGCCCAATCATGTAATTTTGCCCTCGTTTTCATATGTTTGTGACACGGTGCATCGTCTTGATTAACCAGTACTGTAGTTTTTGTCTTTCGAACGTTCTAATAACGCTATGTAATAGTGAAGAAAAGAGAATTGAAACTTTCTATGTTTGTTACCACTTTTATTTGTAACTAACGTTACTGAAGTTTCGTCCTATAAAGACTTTTTCAAACTTATACAATAAACTAACAATGGTAAATTACATTAGCCCTTATATACCACTTTGTAGGTAATAATAGAGGTACTTGGCTTGATTGAGTACCTGAATTTACAATTCAAAATGCGGATGTGCCAATTTGAAAACCGGTGAGTAAACTGAATCGATTTAATCATTTAACAGGTTGCACCCGCAATGTTCATGCTTGTGAATTTCCAAGGATTCTAAATAATTGAGTTTATAAACGTTTATTTACACTGAGAAAATATACAAATACATATTACAAAAGTTACTTCCATTGATGGTGTAGAATAAACGAGTTACCCACTAGAATCACAGATTGCTCATAGGGTTTCATTTGTCGTATTCCATGTTATGATCTCTATATGTATTAATATACTAAAAACTTATGTAATACATTAATATAACTAGAATTTGTTTTATCTATACACATAAATATACAGGGTGTTAATTGAGTATGTACCATATATTCAACAGACGATTCTTTAGGTAATTTTAAGACGAAATGTTCATACAAACAAGGGTCCGCAAATCCTTCGTTCTCAAGATACTGGGTGTTGAAATAAAAAAAAATTATTCGTATGTATCTTAAATATCCTTTACGTAATTTTGTTGTAATTTGGCAATGGTATTTATAACATCAGGGAGCTAATTTAGCCCGAACGTGATTCAATTTATTGAGTCCAGTGGCGTCTCGAGCGGGATTTGAACGAATATTTTTGACTCAAAAATGTACGCCACTGACTTTTGTGCAATTTTTATTATTTCTTTGGATTCAGCAATTAGAAATATAACGTTTTACCATCCTGATTTTTTTTCGTATCTTGCTTAGGTTTCAAGAAAAAAAGTCGACCTGATTGCATATCCCTAGACCTCAAAAGAAATAATATGGGGAATTAAATGTTTCTTTTGGAAATTATTATTTTTACAATTTTTCATTACTAATTATGTAACAATAACAACAAATATTAAATAACAATAACATCTAGACTAACGAACTGCACTAAATTGAGTGTTGGAAATTGCCTCCTTCGACTTCAATACAACCGTCTAGCCGTCGAATCATTGAATTTCGCAGTCTTCTGAAAATATCTGGCGTATTTTTCATTATTTCACATGAGTTAATGATTTTATTCCGTAAATCCTCTTCACTTTCAATAACAGTTTTGTATACCAACACTTTAAGGTGTCCCCAGAGAAAATAATCTAAGGGATTCATTGCGGGCGAGCGAGGTGGCCATGGGTGTGGGCTTGCTTTCCCAATCCAGCGATTATGGTAATTTTCATCCAAAAATTGCCGTGCTACTACACTAAAGTGTGGTGGAGCACCATCGTGCATGTACCTCATACGGAATCTTCCCATGACTGGAATTTCTTCTAAAAGTCCAGGTATAACAGATTCTAAAAAGCTTCGGTATTCTTCTCCATTAAATCTAGGTGGAAGGAAGTGATTCCAACCCAAATATTGAAAGAAAACTGTTCTTGAAAATTATTTTCTATCAAGGCGTGTGGATTGTTTTCGGCCCAAATGTGATTGTTGTGGAAATTAATACTTGAATTGCGAGAAAAGCAAGCTTCATCTGTAAACAATATTCGACTTAGGAAACCTGGATTTCTTCTTATTTTACCGCGTAACCAATTAGGAAAAGGTAGTCTTACAGGCAAATCTCTGGGCGATAGAGCTAGCACACGTTGTATGTGCTAGGGATATAGCTGCTGGGCTCTTAAAATCTGCCACACTGTGACATGGGTAATATTCAGTTCTTCAACTATTTTCCGAGTACTGGTATGAGGATTTACTCCAATCTCATTTAAAACAGCTTCTTCAATTTGAACTGTTCGTACCGTTGCAGGCCTCCCATTGACAACCGTCGATCTTTTAAAGCTGCCTGTTTCAGAAAGTCGTGCATGGAGACGTACAAAAGTTATTTTATTAGTCACTACACGCTGAGGAAATCTTTCATGGTAAATGCGTTTTGCAGCATTTAGGTTGCAATTAGGTCGACGTTTTTTTTTTAAAAACTAAGCACGATACGAAAAAAAATCAAGAGACAAAATAGTTGCATTTCTAATTGCTTAATCCAAAGAAATAATAAAAATTTCACAAAAGTCAGTGGTAAAGAAAAATATTTTTCGTGGCATGAAAATCCGTGTTGCCTCAAAAGTTTTATTCTAATTGGAAACAAAGTAAATTGCTTTTTGACTGCCAAAACAGCAGATGATATCAGTAAACGTATTAACATCGTGATCAATCTCCCTCTTCTGGGTTTGAATGTGTCGCTATTATTAACGAACTGCCCTAATAGATTGTGTTGTGATAAGGAGTGAGAATTGATATGATCGCCTAGATATGATTTCCAGGTGATATTATTAACTTTCTCGGGTATTTTCTTCAGGTCATTCTGGCTAAAATAAATTTCGTGATACAAAAGTATACTTTCCTGATACATCGATGATTATTAGTAACTGAATATTTTTAGACAGTGAAGCACCAGAAAACGCTTGAGGCATAAATGAATGAAAAAAGCAGACTGTATGGGTTCGTTTATAAATTGTTTGTATGTGTGAAAATGAACATTATCATTTTTACTCATCTTCAAAGCGACACAGCGCACATTTCTTGTGCTACAGAATGTGACTAATTGTTGCTGTCTCAATGAACATATAACTAATTATCACAAAACAAAAGCATGGAATCCGGAGAAAATATGTTCTCACATACTCACAAACTACGTTTTCCGAAAGCAAGCCAGAAACAATTGCAACAATTTAGAACAATTTGCATCACCCCAACTATAACAAATTGCATACATATCCGCCAATTTTCTTTATGATCGAGGACACAATTACTGCTGTCACGAACAATCCTCAAGAAATGAGTAATAATTGAATAGGCAAACAGTGTAATCCAAAGAGGCGAAGAAATGTGCACTCCGAACCGTTCCCACGTTCCGTCTGATGTCTATGGAGAAGGCGGCCACCGTTCAAGTGACGCAGATCCTCCATTTCAAGTAAGAAAGTTTGCGTGTGAATAACTGCAGGCCATTGGGGGAACTCGAATTCATTTTTTCGTTAATTTGTGAAGAGTGAGAACATGGTGATCAGTAGAATTCGGTAAAACTCTCTTCTTACACTAGAACTAAAGTATTGCCTATCGACGTGCGTTTCGCTAACCAACGTACAATCATCAGGAGATTACCAGAGCTGAATCCTTACAACTGAGTGAGATCATTTCATTATGTGGATTGTTGTTCAAATTTCACGGGCTACTGACATTCGATTAGCTGTTTTTTTTTAAATTTTACGTTGGTACACTGGTCTCGAACATATTCACAATTTCAGCTATTTAGCATGTTCATTTTGTTGGTGAGAGTTAGACTCAAGTACTCAAACTCACTCGAAATTTTGACAGTGGCATACGGTGATTGTGCTCTAAGTCAGAGAAATGTTTACAAGTGGTACAAGCTTTTTACAGAAAAGAGAGAAGATGTGAGTGATGCCGTCTGCTTTCTAAGCCCCAACGCATCAACAACCGATGAAAATTGTTGGGGAGATTCGTCAAAGTTGGATGTCGGCATATCGGTTGGCTCATTCCATACATTTTTTTTTGGAAATTTTGGGCACGAAGCGTGTGGCAGTGAAGTTCGTTCCAAAATTGCAAAATTTTGACCAAAAAATCGTCGCATGAGCATCGCTCAGAAATTATTGAAAAACGTTAACTGCGAACCAGATTTACTCAAAAGGTTCCTAATTGATGACAAATCATGGGTGTATGGTTATGACATCAAACTAGAGTCCAAATTCTCAATGGGAGAGCCAAGGAAAACCAATTCCAAAAAAGCACGCCTCTGTGAAAGAGGAGCTGAGTACTTCTTTCATTATTTTTTTTTTGAAAAATACTTCAGACAAGTGATATTTTATGAATCTTGGTAACTTCAATTCGTGAGCCAGAAGTACTTAGTTACACAGCAGATGTGATTGACAGTAGTCGTAGGTTCAAGTCCCATCAACTGCAGTATTTCCCATTTTTCCATTTTAAAATAATTAAAAAAAACAAAATATATTCGAATGTTCTGTTTGGGTTGCTTTTTCATGCTATGGAATTCATCAGAATTGCTCTGATTCTAGAT